TTTCTGTTAGAGGCTGAGTCGACCCCAGGGCAATAGCGCGGCTAGAAGGGTTAGGTCAAATTGAAATATCCAATGATCTCATCGGGAATCAAACCCTCAACTTTCCGGCTTATAGCTTAAATATATATTTAAACAAATAAAGTCAATAAAAATGATTTTGCTGACTCATGCTCTGAAGAAGTACTCAGTAATATAAAGCGATGGATGAAGGTCAGTGTTTGACACCAAGCAGTGCCTTGTTATGAGCCAGAGCCGAAGTGGGCAGTCACTATTTACTGGAATGTGTTCTGGCTTACCTTCACTTGTGCCACTATCACTCCCACTGTCTTCGGCGTAATTTATAATATAATCGCTTCGAGTACAACAGAAGTTTGACATGTCCTCTCTCATCACTTATTTGTAAACTGGACAGTATCTCTTAATCGATATTCGATCTTTTCCCTGCCACGATGTGTAAATACGCGAATCAGCTGAATAGCGATTACAGACAGGGTCGGCTGAAGCCTGAACGCTGGTCTAGACGACAAGAAATTCTGTATTTTCCGAACTAAAACAAACAACTTTCTCAAAACGTTGTCATAACTGACACAAAATTCCCAAACACTGTTACGAAAACCGCCTTTGCTGTCGTCATATAGATATATATGAGAAAGTCAAGGAGACAGCGATAAATATATGGCCTCGTCCGGTCACAGCAGTCGCGGTATTGTTGTCGGCATAGGATAACAGAATTAGACAACAATGCTGTTCAGTCATATTTGCAACTTGTTTAGATTACTGTCGGTGGTGATGGTACAAATAAATGTACTCTAAAAATTAATTTACATGTAACAGAAAGTCGAAACAAGAGGAGCTGTAAAAAGTGTTGCTCCCGAATGCCACTTAGTTTGGCTGTGCTTTCATGCCGGCCCTGATAACAAATTGCTTTGTTTAAGAAAAGTAGCGCGCTCTAAGAACAACGGGTTTCTCTGCACAAGTCCTGCCATCTGTGAAACTCTGTGGAACTACAAGGACTTCGCTTGAACATTAGCGTAATCTTCTGTGACTTTCAGTAACTCCTTAACAGATACATCAGTACGAAGTTTTCGCAGTACGTAATTAGAACGAGATGTATAAATATCGGTCATTTGTGGTATCCACGTGCTCAAATTTTTTTTATAATCGCATGTTTACGGAAGGTCTAAAGCCGAATTCAAATCGCGGATGGGTGTACACCTAGCAAAGTTTCCATTATTTCGGAGAACCTTGTTTTGCAGGCGCTGAAAGTTTAAGAGGTAGGTGTCTGCCGACAATTCTCAGGCGGGACAGACACAAGTCATTACTGATCTAGCAACTGCTTCATGGAGGGATATTTAATGTTGGCACTTACACGCTCACTTCGTGAGTAGGGAGTAGAATAAATGTTCTGAAGGCCTTGGCTTCTATAGCTGCCATCAGGAAAGAGACCTAGATAGACAATAGGTGTTTGGGCGCATCATTTCTATTGTGGCATGTATACACTTTGCTGGACAGTGACCGCGATATAAGAAAATACACAACAGCCTTTATTTTGTAACAGCTTCGCAGAAAAAAAAGGTGCTCCCACGGCAACAATTGAATACAGCAATGGAGGAGCGGTGTTTTTCTGTGCCGTCCGTGCTGTCCGTTCTGATAGATTGTAAGCAGGACAGTCAGGACCGAGACTCTGAATTTTCTGAGAAAATACATAGCCAATATACTTGATCAGACTGATCAAAAATTTTTATTTAGATAATTTGTATGGCAAGCCAAGGTACCGTGTTGTATGAAAGGCTGTTTCAATATCCAAGAGTAGCGCAGCCATAGGCATAACAGTTCCGTGCTCAGCTGATCCTGCTTATAACTTCTTGGCACGGACCTCGTAGAAAACATCTGTTCCATTATTGCTGTAGTCTCATGTTGCCATGGAAACATGCTTTGTTTGCGGAGTCGTTACCTAGCAACGGCTGTTGTATATTTGCTTATTTCGCTGTCGTTGCCTAGCGACTGGTCTACGTGCTACATTGTGTAAGCTGATTTCTTTGGAGTCCCATTACGGTGAGATGGGCAGGGCATAGTATGCATCAAAGACAGCTATATAAAAAGCTGTGGTAGGAAAACCAGAAGGAAAGAGACCAGTAAGAAAACACAGGTATTGATTGGTTGATAATATTAAAATGGATCTTAAAGAAATAGAATGGGAAGTTGTGGACTGGATTTTTCTGCCTCAGGATAATGAACAGTAGTTGGTTCTTGTGAATATAGTAATGGACCTTCTGGTTCCATAAGATGCTGGGAATTTCTTAAGTGGCTGAGCATCTACTAGATTCTCAGGAAGAACTCTGCTACATGGAGTGAGTGAATGATTCCATTGGACCTTTTATAAAAAAGTTACGTTAGTTAGTTAGTTACTTAGTTATATTTATGCTAGTGTTTGCAGGCAATCTATATGTAATGATTTGATGCTTGCATCAAACTTCTGTCCAAGGCAGTCTCTTGAGAATACAGTATTAATCTATATTTCAGTAGCTCTGACACGTTGACTACAAAACCAGTAACTCATCCAGTCATATCATTGTAATTATTGTTGTTTCAGTCAGTTCAGTGAAACAGGAAGAAATTATAGAGTTCTGGTGGGGAAGTCTCTTTGAAAGCAACACTTTTAAAGGTGGAGAAAGAAGTCGTAAGGTTATGTTAACTGGATTATAGTGTGTGAAGATTGTTTGATGGTGGTTTTTTCTGTTACTGGGAGCCATATAAAATCACTATACTATGAAAATTTTACAGTCGTAACTTCCAAAAGAAGCTACTACCTATTGGCCTAATAGAGAAAGAAGTATCTTTTAATGAAATCTTAAGACTAATTTCAAGAGACAATATATTTAATATTACTTTAATTTATAACTAAAATGATGATTACAATCTGGGTTGTAGCATATTGCCTCCACGATTGGGGTCAAAGAGTAAGCCAGGCAAGAAACCAGCTATAAGCACACACAAATACCACCTGCTTGCTGCCTGCTTATTTCTGGTATCTTTCTTCACTTACTGTTTGATGCTGAAGATGGCGGTGATATGTTCCTTTGTAATATTTCTGGATTTCTACCAAACTACATGGTACTAAAACCCATAAGATTGTGCTCTTTGCAGTCACCATGTAGGAGTGGCAGATTCAGTATGTCAGTATTTGGAAAGATGGTTTTCAATACGGAACGCATTTCTGCGTACGTCATGACTTGTGTTAAACATTCTTATCTGGAATGGTTTCTGTGGCAGAATGAAAGGTCTAATGAATAATTTTGATGGTTCATCTGTTCATAAACAAAACCAGTCTGTTGAATGAATCGTAAATACAGAATTATGTAACATGGTTAACGCGTTGTGTCATGGTAATCCAGAAGTACAGGACTGACATAATGCATACTGCGTCAGCGAATCTGTCTTTGCGTGTAAATTAAACATAAACATCACTTGCTTCACAACATTGCACTGGCTCCGTTATACAGAAGATTAGTTCTGCCATTCATTTATTATAGTTCCTAAATTTGTAACATGTAACCAGAAGAAATTTTCCACACTTATAATCATTATCTCAGGGACCATGGGCCAAGGATTTTTCAGGAAGAATATGGTGGAGAAACCTTCTGGAAGATAAGAAGGAAATGGGGGACAACATTAAGGTGGATGTTAGGAAAATATGTTGTGAGAGTGGGGTGTGGTTGAAACTGACCCAGGATTGTGTCCAGTCATGGACTTCTGTGTTTATACTGTTGAAAGTTGAGGCTGTTGGAGAGTTAGTCAGTCACTTAGTTTTACTCAGTATGAATTATTGGCATTAACAGTTGGGGTAGTTTACCTTAAATAATTTTTAGTGGACCAAGACGTAACTGGGTGGGCAATATTAGAATGGATCTTAGAGAAATAGGATGGGATGGTATGGATCAGATAGATCTGGCTCAGGATAGGGACCCTTGTGAACACGGTAATAAACCTTCGGGTTCCATAAAATGCTGGGAAATTCTTGAGTAGCTGCAGAATTGGCGGCTCCTCCAGAAGGGCTCAGCTCCATGAGTAAGCAAGTAAGTAAGTAAGTTTATAATTTACTTGCATCACTCTCTCTTAACATCATAAAATGGATGTTACATTTTTCTTTTGTTGAGCACCTTCAAGAGACAGTTCCTGACAAATTGTTATGCCTGAATTTGTCTTAATAGTGCCAAGGAAGTAAGGATGCAAATATACTTAAACTTGTGATTCAAACTTTTAGAATTATCTGAGCGAGTCCTTTGAATTGTGAAGTTTATCTGAATATTTATAAATTCAGGTTTCTACTTCACAGACTTTCCATCGCTATTACAGAACTTAATGCTGAAGATTAATCTGTTTTTGGAGGATGTCCATTTTCCAATATTCTAAAGAACACAACATTTTGGACAGTGGATCTCTTTACTTCCTCAGATGAGGGAATGGGAGACATCTACTTCGTCAGATCCCTTAGACCTAACCTATATCACTGGTTGACCCAACAGAGTTGGTGTCTCCCCTCTCACCTGAGCATGAACTCAGATCTAGTTTCCAAAACGTTGTGTTCTCTAGTTTTTAGAATACTGGATGATAGACAAATTAAAAAAAGCAAAACACTAATTACGGGAAGCAGATGCTTAACTTTTGTTGGTCGTTGCACTAGTGCAATTGTACCTGAGTGATCCAGCTAGCAGAGCTTTTCGTTCTTTCAGTACAAGTGCTGTTAAGGTTTGGCTCCGTACCTGACAATACTGAGGGGATTAGAAAAATCCTGTTATCAGGCAGTAAGGCTAAGTCTTAGAAAAGGACTGAATATGAGAGTTCTAATCAACATTAAGATGCAGTAAATTTGTATAACTTATCTATTGTATTTTCTTTAATTTGAGTGCTGAGAAATGCAACGTACTACATGTATGGCAAATTTGGAACTCAGTGTCATGCTTCCCCATTTCTTATTTGTGTACATGCTTGTTTTCTAGGTACTGGAGATGGTACTTAAAAAGTTTAAAATCGAGAATGCAGTTTGGTGTTCTGGAGAAAGTGGTCATTATTACCAGGTATGTATGAAATGGCAGACTGTTTGGACAAAAATTGTGATAACATGTGCATGAGATATATTGTAAAATCAAATTTCTTATTTCAGGTATTTTTTACTGTTGGTTCTGGTGACTGTTGTGAGGAAATACTTAGACATCTAGACGAATCAGGAATAGGTGTCAGACTCAATTCTGTGGTCAGGTAATTTACCGCTGATAAATCTGTATTTATTGTACTTTTTATTATGCTAGTGCGGTGGGACTAAGTCCCTTGTACTGCGGCCACTTCTGGCCTATTGTACCAGCCCCAGATGATAGGTGAGGGTGATTGCGGAGCAATTGGTGGAATGAAGATTGGAAGGGGAAACCGAAGTACTCTGAGAAAACCTGCCCCAGCGCCACTTTGTCCACCACAAATCCCACTTGACCAGACCCAGGCCGCCGCGGTGGGAAGCCAGCGACTAAGTGCTTGAGCTATGGCGCGGCCAGATTTATTGCACTTACTACAGTGTATTCTGATAAGACTTTCGCCATGTTCCATTTGAGGTTCCACTGTGCTGAAGAATCATATTGTAGTGTTCTTGGTTATGTTTCATTTGAATAAGAAAGGGGCATGGAGACCAGACATTCATACTCTATTGCTTGTTTTAACTCATCATTGCGGTCATTTTTTTAGAATGGAAAAGTTGTACATTTAATTGTGACCAACCAGATGAGACGCACACTGTTCCTGATAGGTTACACACAGATATTTCTCCGACTCATGCAATCATAAAGAAAACCACTGGAAATTAGATTGTTATCACAACAGTGTATGGAGATTAGGCAGGACACTTTCTCCAGTGCTCTGTTACTGCTACTCAGACAAATCCTTTTATGCTAATGGAATCCTTCAAGGTAGGTATTTGGATTTCTGTTGATAAGATGGTGACACTGTTCATTGGTGTTAGCCAAAGAATGACTGCTATAAATTCCATCTGCAATAATAAAAATTAGAAGACCTAATTATTTTTTTCTTTCAGATTAAATCTTCATCTGCTTTCTTAAGACGTTTCTGCTTTTATGTGAATTATGTAACTCCTTCGTTTAAATAACAATCCGACAGCGATTACACCGTTAAATAATAAAGAGCTGCTGAATATCATTTTTTTTTCGTTTGTTGCTAACTTCGCCGACAAACGGCGGTCACTTGGTCGGTATAGTTTTCTTGCAGACTAAAGCCACATAGATGCTACATAAATACCAAATTAACCAGATTTATGATTTTCAAGGCACTGTGAAATTCCTTCCTGCATCTGCTTAATGAATCAAATACATAAATGTTTTTTCCTGTTGAATGATGGATCCTTCTGATACATTTTACAACATTCATATCAATCTGTCTTTTAAAACACAATGTGACAACAGCACACATTTATTAATTAATATAGCTGTGGCTTGTTATTGTTATTTTGTTATTTATTCCTAATTTATTTAGAGACAGTTTCTGTAGCCCAGACAGCATAGTGTCAAACGGTTCGATATGCAATGATTAATGAGTTGAAAAGGATGTAGAAAGTAGCAGCTGTGACCCAGTTCAGTGTACTATCCTGGCATTTGCCTGAAGAGACTGGAAAACCATAAGAAACCTAAGTGTAACTGGTCTCAAAGCTCAGATTTGACACCTTCAATATGCAAAGTATAAACATTTTTCTTCATACATGTGGAAAAATGTGTTTTAAAAAATGCTGACATTTATACTTTTCCATCGTTGAAACTCTGTTGCTATGGTGACTATTTCTCTTGGTAAATAGCAGGACAACAACCCCAGCCCAATTCTAGAATAAAGTACAGTTCTGGTATTTATGAGCTGGTACTATAGAGATGTTCTGTTGTTTTGCTGAAGTGTTTGACACATCATTTAATGCCCTAATGTCAGCCCAATTAATTTCAACACACTTCATACCCTAAATGTAAATATGTTACAAGCAGAAAAGACCACTTAATTTTGCTGTGTTATGCTGGATTAGGTGTTGCAAATAATTAATATGAAAAAACACATCTTTGTTTCAGTGTCCTACCTTGCACATTGTACTATCAGGGAAAACAGGAATCAATGATTGAAGAATGTCCAAGTGTGGAACAAATTGATGAGTAAGTTGGCATTATTTACATATGAAATTTTGTCTTCTTCTCTAGAAGATACTGTGTTGAATTAAAAACGTATATAAAGTTATTCTCATGCTTAATGAAGTGCCACACCATCAAGATATATGGATGAGTGGTTATACAATATACATATTGTCATGCATGCTTAACTTTGACACTAGATACATGTGACTGGTGGCCCTCGTGCTAAGAAAGGATATGAAAGATGTCATGCAGATTAAAGGAAGATTATAAATGGGAAATGAGGAAGACAGAAATAGTTGGAGATGCTTTATTATTGAATGACACACATGAAGGTGGTTTCCAGTGTCACACTCTGATGGTGAAGTCGTTTGTGCTTTGAACCTTAACTGGTTGCCATATTTATAACTCATTTTCTATTCAGATACCACTTGTGTAAGTTATGTTATCCAGTTGCAAAATCCAGTTGGGTTGGGCGATTTCAAGTTCTTCCCACCCTTGTCCATCAGAGGTCTCCAAAGTTACACAATAGCAGCAGCATCTAGGAGCAGAGTAGAGAGTCGTGTGAGTGATTGAAATTGCATTCACTCGTCTTTTATCATGAGTGAAAGATTCCTTTACATGTCATAAATATACAATATTTATTTCCGTTTTGAAGGAAGTTGTGCTATGGACTTTTATTGCTTTTGGCTGGGTTTGGGTCCAGTGGTGAGCATGCTACCACTAGACCACTGAGGCAGACCCCACATAAAATTTGGAAACTCGAAAGAAGACAATTATGTCAAAGAATGGATACAGTCATGATGTGTAGAACAGATATTTCAGTTTGTTTACATATACATGCAATGAGTGAATTGTTAGAGCTTGAAGTAGCTGCATTAAAATTGCCACTGCTGAAGATATCTGTTCATTAACCAATTCAGCATTTCCTTCAGTAGCTGGCGTCAAGTGTGACGTACCAATATTTAGGAAAAAAAGAAGTTTTCAAGGTCATTTGGGGGAAATGTTGTGGATTTTCCTGTGATGCTGCATTTACCTACAGTGGACTTCGTGTCTTTAGCAGGTGGGTCTGTGGTGGGGCTTTGCAGTCTCAGGATTGAGGGTCATTCGTTTACCGTGCATATTTCATTGAATTATACCATTAATCTTATGACAGCTTTTGTGTTGTTTTTTTTATAAAAACGCCATGAAATATTTTAATAATTGTTACTAATTTATTACAGATGCAAACAGAAGTCTGCTAAACCCTCATCATGGGATAAGTTTGTAATGTCAGTACGATCCAGACTAACAGTCGCGCAAGTGGTGGAAGGTGTGAGAGCAGATGCAAGCTTGACCTTTGATTTTCTTGCTCTCCTTGTTACTGCAGGGTAAGCTCATATCATGGTCCGATTGTTACCTTTAGTTGCTTAACTTAACTAGTAACCAGACATTTTACTTTTGTACTAATAACAGCAATATTTCTTATAGAATCCTCCAAAATATTTCCTATTGGAAAATGTTCGTAACATTTCTTTACTCCTTGTAGAATTGTGGCTGCATTGGGACTTGCAGAAAATAGCACCATCGTTTTGGTGGCCAGTATGCTGATCTCACCGCTCATGGTAATTATTGTCCTAAATACATTACTTCATCATGTTACAGAAGTTAAGATTATGGAATTTTGCCCTTATGAAAATTATAAAACATGACCATAGTAGTCACAGTTCATAAGATTTGGGGATAAATATTGAAATTATATAAAGCACAGAATAAAAAACAACAGTGGCTTCAGGAAAAAATGCATATATTTTAAAGAAAGAATTTGTTAAAGAAATCAAAATGTATATATGCATGACATAGCCAGATATAATGTAGCAACTAGCATGTCTCTTCCCATCTTAGTTTAGATTGTGCAATGTTTTATCCAGATTTAAGATACTTTTAGAAGACTTTTCTTTTAGAAGTAGTGGACACAAACAAATTTGAATTATTATTATCTATGGATTCCCTGATTTCCCGGGTTCAATCCTGGATCTGGTCAAGTGGTATTTGTGGTGGACAAAGTGGCGCTGGGGCGGGTTTTCTCCAAGTACTTCGGTTTCCCCTGCCAATCTTCATTCCACCAAATTCTCCATCAACATCATCACCCAGGGCAGGCTACAATAGGCCAATCAGTGTCTGCCGTGCCAAGTGGACCCAGTTGGACTCCACCCCCCATTAAGTGAATCTCTGGATTCTTAACATTGTTTACAATTTGTAAAAAAATGTTTTTATATTTTAAATGTGAGCAGAACATTTCTGTGGGTTGATACCTCCATTTTTAACATGAGAACCAGCATAACTCAGTTCGTGGTGTGATGGGCTTCAGGCTGGATGGTTGGGATGTAATGCTGTGTAGTTCATTGTAGTCCTTTGCTTGTTATCTGATTCATGCTGGTTTCTTGCGTGGCTCTTTCTTCAACCCTGCAAATGAAGTCGACATGTTCCTCTGAAACGTCAGTTGACTGGACTACATAGTGTCATATCCCAGAAGATAGAATTCTTTGTAAACATTGCTGTAAGAACCTAAAATCCTATGCAGATAATGAAGTATTTGATTTTTTTCTCCACAAAAAGCACTCTTTACAGCAGTCGGTATAATGACTGGCTACAGACTGGACGGCTGAGGGGTTGGTATTCAAATCCAAGTAGGGTCGGTGTTCTTGTCTTCTCCATGTTGTCGAGAATGGTTCTGTGACCTATCCAACTTCCTATCCATCCAGTGGTTACTGGGGCTCTTTTTCTGGGGGTAAAGCAGCCAGGGCATGAAGCTGACAACTCACCTCCAACTAATGCTGAGATCAAGAATATGTGGCTCTATACATCCACTCCTCTATATGCCTTCATGTTTTAGTCCTTAATTAGTTAAGCACAAGGAAAATGCTACCTTTCTTACAGCTTTGAGACAAAATTCATATGGGCACATATATAAAGATTGATTCATCAGGTTTTAAATCTTCTGAAGAGCTTTGAAATTAGAATGTAAGATACCCATTTGTTTGTTACAGGGACCCATCATGGCTGGAACATTTGGCACTGTGATTGAAGACAGGCAACTTCAGAAAATGGGTGTTCTGAACGAACTGTTCGGTTTGCTTGTGTGTCTTGTGGTCGGTTTCATCTTTGGACTGGCAGCTGGTTTAGCCAGTGAACACTGGTGTAATGGTGGATGGCCAACTGATGAGATGATAGCCAGGTAAAAACAAAAATGTGTTTTGAAAGAATTATGTTTTCTGACATGTGAAACATATAATCTGATGACTCAGAGGGACACACTACCTCCGTCTTCAGGAGTAAAGAGTAAACCAAGCCAACAGGAAGCAGTAAAGAGACTGCATTTTGCTTTCTGCTGACTTGCATGGTGTCCATGCTCACTGAAATCACGATTTCAATCCGTATCTCAGGGACTGTTGTCTGTGATAGTCAGTGAAGTGTTATCTGTGGAAAGCAGTGGGAACTGTCAGACTTTTCTATTGTATTATTAACTGACCTATCAGTAGGATACAGTAAAAAAAAAAGTAAAAAAGTAAAGCTATCCCTGTAACAGGCCGTGAAAGCTCATAGGGTTGTGAGACGTTGAGGGTCCCAAATTATCTAGACAATCAACTCAAAGATGGCGGTAAGGTTGTCAGCCTTGCGCGCCAGCCATGCTTTAGTCCCCAGGAAAAGTATTTATTTAATTCCTGGTACTCATTTCAGTGGTATTATGGGGCTGTTTCATTTTAACATTTACCTTGTCTTCACTAGGTTCCAGATTGCTTTCAGGCAGATACAGTTGTTTTTCTTGATTGCTTACAGAGGTCAGCTTCGATCCTTATGGGTCGGTTTGCTAGTTGCTCTTCCTTCAGGAGCCGCAGTCGCCATCGCCATTCTAGGAGACAACACGGCATCTCTTGTGGGCGTTGCTATTTCTGCTTCTTTGTTGCCTCCAGCTGTGAATGCTGTATGTGTTAATCCACTGAGGTTGAGATAAGTCGATAAAGGAAAGTGTTCTGGCTCTGGGACTGTTTCTCTAAATTTCAATTAAATAACTAACGAATTAAGTCCTTGGAGTTCAGCCCTTCTTCAAAAGCCACCAGTCACTCAGTTACTCAAGAATTTCCCAACGTTTTATGGTACCTGAAGGTTCATTATTGTGTTCACAGGAGTCTGCCACCAGACCCAATCCTGAGGCAGATCAGTCTGGTCCATATCATCCCATGCTCTCTCTCTCTTTCTCTGAGTTCCATTTTAATGTTATGCTCCCACCTACATCTGGGTCTTCCTAGTTGTCTCTTTCTTTCTGGTTTCCCCACCAATTTCCTATATGCATTCCTTGTCTCAAATGCATGCTGCATGCCCTGCCCATCTCATTGTCCTTGACTTGATCATTCTAATTATACTTGGAGAAGAGAACAAGTTATGAAGCTCCTCATTATGCAGTTTTCTCCAACCTCCTGTCACTTCATCCCTCTTCGGTCGAAATATTCTCCTCAGAATCCTGTTCTCAAACATTCACAGTCTGTGTTCTTCTCTTAATATCAGAGACTAAAAGTGACACCCATTCAAAACCACAGGCAAAATAATAGTTTTGTATATTCTGATTTTTACATTTTTAGGTAGCAGACAAGAAGATGAAAGCTTCTGAGCTGAATGGTAGCAAGCATTACCAAAATTCAGTCCCTTGATTTCCTCTAAATCAGATTTTGATTTGTTACCGTCATTTCCAAACTTGAAAATTCGAGATCTGTATATTCTGCTGCCACCAACATGCACTGCAGATGGTGATGTTATGAAAGTTTTGTATTGATGCTTTTTAAGATACAACCAAAATGTGAACATAACCACCATCCCCAAGCAGAAGCTGAGTTACATATTAACTGAGCAGATGGAGTAGTTCCATAAGCTAGTCCTTGGCCCATTCAGTCATTAGACAGACCTGTTCTGTAAGCCACAGCCAATAGTTTAACATCACAGTTGGGTGTAGATTATGTTAGATTAAAGGCTAGGCATTGAATGACCCTGCCACTGTGACTGTCAATGATATGTTTTGGACCTCCCTTCTGTAATTAATCCTCTAGCACTGCCTCACTTTCATTGAAATGTAATGCTCGCATAGTGAACTGTTTTTATAGTCATTTGACATTATGAAATCATAATTCAGCCACAACCTCACAATCAGACAGATGTTTCATCTTTATCTTCGGACTATTTACTGATCTTAGAATAGATGCCCTTTCAAGCGATGTGTTATCTACTCATATGTTTCAACCGGCTGCTATTTGGCTGTAATAATTGCATATTTCTTTTGGTGGAGGGTTTCCAAAGGAAGCCCTTCACACGCTTTTTGGCCAGGTATGAACAACCAAATTCTTTGATGATTTCTGTTCATCAAGAGTCTGATGGCATCTGTTTCAGATCCTGTTGGATGTATTTGCCTATTCACGTCCTATGGTGGCTGTGCAGATTCAGCTGTTGCTAGCTGATGGGCAGTCTCACTTCCTTAAATTCCCTAAAGTCCCACACCTCATATCAGTAAAGGCCTGTTATGTTAGTAGCTGGGTATAAGCATGATACCAAGAATGAACTACAGTATACTCCTGATCATCTGTGTCAGTTAAGGAGGAAAGACACATGATTAACAGAGGAACAGAGACAATTGAAGATTGTTTGAGTATGGAAATTTAGAAATACAGCAATACCTCGCACAGTCTCGGTAATCGGTTCCACCAATATCCCGGACCATTTGAAACCACACTAATTGAACTAAATACATACAAAAAATGATAATTGGTTCAAAAAAAATCTCCGTTTTTCAATAAATAAAACGTGATTAATAAATTCAAATGTCTTTATTACAAATACACGTAATTTTAAAAAATTCATGTTTTTCGCAATTCATTTTTTATTCTCTAAAAATTGCAATATTAATGTCTGCACATTTTTCTTCTTTGGCCTATTCTCTTCATACATTTCTTTGTAGCAACGAGTTGCATTGTTTATTTTTGGCGAATTGTAAGGCTATGTTCAATATTGGGATCAACTTCCATAATATGCTCTGACAAGGTTTCAACCATACCAATAATTTTTTATAGTTGTTCAGCTGTTAATTCTCGTGCAGGCACTTCAACAGTCGTCGTTGTCTAAGTTGTCTTCCCATTCTTTATCTATGTTAATAAGTGTTCCATTATCTAGTTCATTAGTGTCTGATTTGATGCACTCACTTACATTGAGGGAATCGAACTCACTGAAACCAAGTTGCTGTCCAATTTCCACTATGTTATTAGTGACTTTAGCAAAATCAGTTTCAAAACCAATGAAATCATTTGCACAATGTGGTATGATATGTTTCCATACTGCCCTCATATTACTTGCCGTTAATTCATACCATGATTGGCCTATATTTTCGATAACGTTTCTGACGTTGTAGCCTTCCAAAATTCTGTTAAAGTAGTGCTCTCCCCACCTCCTCCAGTGATAGCTGTCAGAGCTCAAGAATGAACGACCCGAGTGTAGGTACATACATATACAACGGGAACCCCAGAAAAAATAGAAATACATATCGTATAGCATAACTTTAAAACCACATAAAAATTAACTGCACAAAAAGAGACTTGACTGTATAAAGAGGAAAAAACCGATTATTTATGTATTAAAAATAATTTTGTGTACAAATTTTTTAGAATTTATTTTTATTTTGCTCAATTAAAATTTAGTTTGTTTTGACATTTTCAAACCTGACTCTGAATGTATGAATGTATAAGGGGTGGGCCTTCTCGGCCCTTGCACCGCCACCAGCAGTGGTTAAAACTGGACTGTAGTGAATCCGGACTGATCGAAGCCAGACTATGCGAGGTATTGCTGTATATCTATTGTGTCTGATATGTTTAATTATCTCAAAATCATAAGGTTTCTAGAAAAGTGTGTTGAATGCAAAATGTGTGTTTCATTTTCCTCTACAACTCGTGTTCAAAACATTTATTTGTTAACAAATAAAGTAAGAATTACTTTCACTCTCCATTATAGAAGAAATGTAATTACATTGCATGCCATTTTGGAAACCAGATATATTAAATCTTCATTTTTGTGAGTGATGCCATGAAAAGTAAGAACTTACAGGGCTGTAGTCATTGAAGATTAATGTATTTATTCTGTTATTTGGGACCATGTACCATCTCATAGATTGCTGACTAGGTTTCTGAGGAATACAGTGTTTATATATCTTCTGCCCTGAAGTGGAGACGGTATGTTCTTTCTCAATGTTTGTAACAGTGAGCCAGACTACACAACATGGCACTCCAAAAGACCTAATCTTTATAGTCATCACTGTTAGAAACTCAGATCTTGAATATGTAGATACTTATTAATGTTGCATGCACCACAATAACTGAACAAATGTTTAGAGCCTTATTTGAGATCATTGTTACTCAGGAAACTTCTTCTGCACTTGAGAAATACTTGTACTTGATGGATAATGCCATTTCACTTTCGATTTTATAGGGATTGTTCTGGGCATTGGCCTGCATGGACATTCTGTGGCAGGGACGCATGATGCTAGAGGATGATGACTCCAATGTAGCAAATTCCTATAAGCCTACCTACTCAGAGACCCTCGTGTTGAACTTCTGATTATGGGTGCTGTCAGCCTTTGTCTCACACTTATCAACATCATTTGCATATTCCTGGCAGGAATTATAGTTCTTAAAGTAAGTGCATACAGTTGTGTTAGTTTAAAAGAACCCTACTTTAAACAATATTCATGCTTATAGAACACATGTTTAATCATGGATTGACACGTTCTCAGACAGTGTGCATCTGTGAATTATCGTTGCTTCTAGAGGGAGAGATAATTTATCCAATTTCAAGTCTGGATCTATGTAAGTGATCATAATGCAAGCATCATTGTCTTGTATCAGTTAAGTTAATTTGACTTGTGGGAACATCCCACATTATCACGCATTTCTGCAACGCTCGCTCTTCACATCACTTTTCACCATCACGCGCGCTAACCAATCAGATTGCTTCAAACGATCGCATTTATACTACGCTCGGCGATAGCCCGCGTCTACACCATTACGCGCGCTAGCCAATCAATTCTTGCTCCTCACTTTCGAGTTTGGCTCCGCCCCACCGACCAGCGTATAAAAAGGAGCGACCCCAGAGTCGAGTTATGCAGTTTAATTCAGTTCATCATCAGTCTACGAGCTAGTCACATCAAGCAACTTCAACCAGCAGGCTTCGTCGCCAGCGCTCGGTCTTCGGAAACATCGGCAGGCTGCGCCAGGCACGACTGCCTCGGCCGTCCAGCGCTCTCACACCCGACTCACTGGGGCACCGCGCCTGGACTCGCCGGTGGTCGTGTTACGGTCTGACTCACTAGGCATCTGGCGTAGCCACTGCCTCATGGCTCCTACGACCGCGCTCGACTAGCCTTTCACCACCAGCAGCAACCTCCGCCATTTGCTGCGCAGCGATCAAGCAACCTCCAACTCACGCTGCCGCACGGCAACCAAGCAACCTCCAGCCACGGCCGCACTGCGGCCAGGCCCTCGCCTTTCACTAGCCTTCCTCCTTACCGGCGCGCGCCGCGCTACCTCACCGGTCAATCATCTCAGCAGCCACGGTCCTTTTCAGGGCCAACAAACTGTTCCGAAGAAGTGGGTTGTCATCGGAGTAGCGACAAGACTACACACATCGATGACAAGAGCGCCCCACAGACTAATATATTCCAATTATGTAGGATGGTTACTGGAGGGATTCACTGGTTTATAGGTTACTTAACTGTAAAGGTTATATAGCACTGAATGAGCTGGGAAGCTGATCATGAATTGCAGGAAGTAATTATATTTTAGCCTTTGCCTAGTGACTGGTTAGAATCTCATTCAGAATATCAAGTTATTTGTCTTCTATGGAAAAATTATGATGTTTATTTACATATTAAGTCACTTTGAACAATACTCAGCTGTTAAAGAAAGCCCTCAATTACATGGATATCAAATTTCATAACTCTCAAGCTTATGGTTTGCTTAGATAAATACATATAATTTGATAAAACATTACAAAAATGGAACTTAGACCTTCCCTTATGGTAGCGGTTCTTAAACTTTGTTATACTGTGACCCCCTAAAATAATAATATGTAAATTATGACTATGCTTGGGCTTCAGATTTCTAATTGGATTTGTTAGACAATGAATCATCCACAGTTTAAAATTTGCGCTGTTGTTTGTTGGCTTTGTCTTCATAGACACGTTGCTAGGTTTTGGATGCTCTCTGACCATCTGTTGAGGTCTGAGTGGAACATACTGCTCTTGACAATTCCTTGGCTGCTGTGGGCATGCCCTGTGGCTACCAGGGATTGATGCAGTGGACACCTCTGCTACATTTCCATGATTTCATGATTCTGCCTTTTAGATGTAATGTTACAGCGTTTATTACACATCTCATTTTCTGCAGGATGTTGAGATAATTTCTTTACATTAATTTCTTTAGATCAAGGAGGTTGCGCCTCGTACTTCCAAGGACCAAGTGCAGTTCTGGAAACATGACATTAAGGTTGCACGAGATTACAACAGGACATTTCATGGTGAAGATGCTGAGGAAATTCGGAAACGGTTTGTGGACTTACAGATTTAAACTGTGTTCTTTTAAATTTTTAAATGAAAATACTGAATAATACTGAATACTGAAAAGCATGGTTTAGTTTAGTATATTTTACTAAACCTTGTGATTTTTGTAAGAGACATCTGTAGTTGAATGCTTTATGATATAATACCATGCCTTTTCTTAACATAAGACCAACTGCCATGGAACAGACATTGTTGCTGTTTAGTCATTGATATTGCTGTCATGTATACTCCATCTGGTCTTGTGGTAAAATATTGAATTTTTATGTTTGTTTCTATCATTCATTGATTCATATATCTTAATAATTATTAAATTAAATAATGTTTTACTTCTCCTACAGGTTAGCAGAAGAACTTGCTCGAACAAAATTACATTCACCAAATGTATACAATTTGGGCCACCGTAATTCCATAATTACAGCTCATGAGGTAGGAAATTACAATGTTCAGAATAATATAAATGCCAGTTAGTTACCGTATGTATATAGATTAAACCTCATGCCTGTATTCACCTAGATATTTTGATGAATTCTGGTTTGTGGCCCCTACTTAATCTTAAACAATAAAACATAAATTTCAGCTAATAATGTTATACTTAAGCTTCCCATGAAATTGATTACTTAGTATTTATTTTCATATTCTAATGTGGGTTTTATAAATGTTCCAAAGGTTGCATCATTTTGCCTCACTGTTATATTTCATTCACTTGTTTTGTTATTCGTACAGCATGTTTCTGTTGTCCATGTCATGCTCAGGTATGTCATACACTTTTAAGTTGCTTCACTGTACCAACAATAGCAGGGGCGAGATGCTGACTGTTCATCTCCATCTAGTGCAAAGGTTAAGAATGGTGGAATTGTATCTTCACTTCTCCATGTCTTCATGACATGAAGCTTAATTAATTAAGCAGAGGAATAAATTTACCTGTCTACTATTAGAAAATCATTTATTGCTTTGATAGATATACCTAGAATTGAAGCAACATAGGAATGCTACACTTGATAATGTTCACTTAATTTCCTAAAAATGCAGAATAGAAATGTATTGTCGTTTCCCATGTACCACATAAACTGTTACACAGATTTTTTGAAATTTTATATTTGAGGCTTAACCAAGAAATCCAATTTTCGGACATATTGGTCTATAAGGAAGCTTAGTATACATGGACTTTTACGTGCTTATCATAGACAATTTTTTAAAATACAATACAGTAAATTACCACTGATCTGACAGTATTCATATTTTTAAGGTAGCTTAGCAAACTTCAAAGAATGCTGTTGGGAAGTTTGGGTACTACAACGTAGAATACCTTTTTGATCGTGTTGTTGATACAAAACTGTTACATTCATCCATACTGACGGTGAGTGATTGGAAAATGACAAGACTGAAGAAAAGTCTTAGTGACTTCAGTTTGCTTCATGAAATTAATCATTGCCCTTCAAAATATTCCTTGTGTGCCTCAATACATTTATCCCTGGTTGTCTCTTAATTGATAAAAAACACGCAAAGAACATTCATAATAGTCTGTTAAGTATACTTGTTCACATGTTAACATCATTATCATGCTCAGAATGTACAATTAGCAGGTTTGTTTCAGACTGCAGAAATCATGGTGCAATATGCATACGTATTCATTGAAGTGGGGTATTTTCTTGAATTCTGCTAAGAAGTCTTTCAGTTTATTGTAATAAAATATATTAAAGGGTAAGGTATTAAACGATCATTGCGACACAACCAGTCGCTGATCCCTCACCCATCCCCTTTCTTAAATTTAGCCCTCCAGCAGTTCTATATCTTTATTGAAACACAGTACCTGGCCTAATAGGACTTTATGAGTCACCGAGTTTCTGGAAGTGGGGCTTTCCAGTGGTGAAATCTTTAATTCATCCATAACTTTGCACTGGCGCATGTATGTAGCACTGTTTTGTCTTTGTCATGACACCTTTCTTAAGTATAACTGTTACCAGTTCGAAATTGAATGTTGCTTTTCAAGTGAAGGTATCAGCTGGCTTCTGCTGAACTATCAGTTGTCTGGTTCCTTTCGTAAAGGACTCCTCCAGAAGGAAACCCTTTGAACGTTACATCAGCATTAATAGTCTACTCCTCGACTTCTTTCTACGCAATGCTTCTAATTAAAAAGAAAACAACAAAGGCTTCAATAAAGTGGTGTTTTGTGGGATCTGGAATGTCAGGTTGCCCAAATTGGCTACTTTGGGACCTCAGTTCATAAGAGCTTTACTCAAGAACATATTGTCTCATGACTGAGACTACACTTCACAGGTCACTGTCACACAAAGACTAGTGTTCTTACTCCGGGTCTCCTCTGCTTGGTAATGTCTCCCAACAATGGACGTTCCTTTGCTTCACGTTCTTGAAGACTGGCAGCCATCTTCCACCAACCTCCTACTCTGTCATCTCAGGACTCTATCATAAAGGCAGCTGGCCCTCGTTATATAGTTTTGACACAGACCTCACACAAAACACTGCTTCAAATAGCTACTTCATTGTCATGTGTTACACAGCCGTTACCTAGCAATGGCTGTGTCTCTGGCTCCACAGGTCTTGCTTCAAGAAAATATGCCTCAATATCCTTGTCTTGCTTCCAAAACTGTGACAGTTAATCCAGCACTACTCAAATGTGGGAACTGGGATAGTGCAGTCAGTATATTGACAAGGGTACAGGCTGGACAGATGAGGAAGCAGGGTTCAGTCGTCTTCACAGTTTTCAGACCAGCTCTTTGGGCCACCCAGTCTCCTGTTCAGTAGACACTTACCTCAGGGCTCAATTAGTGGGGATACTGCTAAGAATGCATGGAGCTATACCTCCATTCTGCCATCAGTCCACATGGTGTCATTCTAAATTATGCACAGGGACAACTTTGTCCTCCAATTAGTTCACATTATCATCTCAGAAGTTAAACTGATAAGTGAAAGTGTGTGTATATATAATATTATACTGAATTAAACATTTATGAGAATGTAATAACAAGTTAACGAATTAGCTTCGCTGAGTAGAGTCTTTCTTGAGAAGATATTAATCACCAGCTAGTCTAAAAATTCCCCACCTTTTATAAAACCCAAATGTCCATTACTGTGTTCGTAAGTTTTTGCCACTGGTCCTCATTCTGAGCCAGATGAATCCAGTCCCCACCTTCACACCACATTAATGACAAATTGTGACATATAGAAAACCAGTTCATGTTAGGTGGGTCCCTTGTCACCACGGCTGGCTCGTCCTCAGGTTGTGGGTGGAGGAGATGGCCTCCAGATATGGAGGGTAGCTGAGTATATATTGAATAAGCAGTTGTGGACAGCTGACAAGGGCTGGTCCTCCAGCTGGGGGTTTGGGTGTGGGGCTAACAACTCTTCATCATAAAATATAAGCTTGTTATGAAGCTCACAAAAAGCCTTGGACCTCGTTGGATTATTCGAATAAATGACCTAAGCGAAAGAAAATGGGTATGAACTTTAGTACATGGAATGTTAGAAGTATGTATAAGGCAGGTTCGCTCAGGGCAGTGGTGGAAGAAATCTCAAAATATAAGTTAGATTTAGTGGGAGTACAGGAGGTAAAATGGGACAGAGATGGCACTGAACTGGCAGGCGAATATGCATTTTTCCGTGGAAAGGGGAATGAGAACCATGAATTAGGTACAGGTTTTTTTTTTGTACATAAGACAAACATATCAGCAGTTAAGAGGGTAGAGTTTGTTAGCGATAGGATGTCTTGCACAATACTAAGAGGTCACTGGTGTGATTTCATCGTTCTGAATATTCATGCTCGACAGAATAAAATTGACGGCATGATGGACAGGTTGTATGAAGAACTAGAACATGTATTTGATAAATTCCCTAAATACCACATGAAAATTTTGTTAGGAGACTTCAATGCCAGAGTAGATAGGGAAGTCATTTTCAGATGAATAGTTGGGAATGAGAGTTAGCACGAAATTAGTAATGATAATGGAGTTAGAGTAGTAAACTTTGCCACATCCAAAAATGTTGTCAAAGTACGATGTTCCCATATTGTAACATTCATAAATTTACTTGGACATCTGATGGAAAGACACATAAACAGATTGACTGTATTTTGATAGATAGGGAAAGGCTAGTAAGGAGGTTGGTCTGGAAGTAAACAGAGAAAACTAAGTATATGTTGCTATCTTGCCATCAGAAAGCAAGGCAAAATCATGACTTAAAGATAGCTAACAGATGTTTTGAAAATGTGGCACAGATCGGATATTTGAGAACAACCATAAAAAATCAAAACCTGATTCAGGATGAAATTAAGAGGAGATTGAATTCAGGTAATGCTTGCTACCATTCAGTCCAGAACCTTTTGTCTTCTTGTCTGCTGTCTGCAAACATAGAAATTAGAATATACAAAACTATAATTTTGCCGGTGTGGTATGGGTGTGAAACTTGATCTTTGACACTGAGAGAGGCACATAGACTGAGGGTTTTTGAGAACAGGGTGCTTTGGAGAATATTTGAACTGAAGGTGGATGATATGATAAGGGTTGGAGAAAAATGCATGTTGCATTTGTACTCTTCACCAGGTATAATTAGAATGATCAAATCAGGGATGATGAGATGAGCAGGGCACATAGCATGAATGGGGGAGAAGAGGAATGCATATAGGATATTGCTGGGAAAGCCAGAAGGAAAGAGACCACTAGGAAGGCCAAGACATAGGTGGGTGAGCAATATTAAAATGGATCTTTGAGAGATAGGATAGGGTAGTATGGATTGGATTGATCTGGCTCAGGATAGGGACCAGTGGAGGGATCTTGTGAACAGGATAATGAAACTTCAGGTTCCATAAAATGCTGGTAAGTTTTTGAGTAGCTGCACAATTGGCAGCTTCTCAAGAAGGGCTCAGCTCCATGTGTGTGTCAGAAATCAGTATAGAACATGAATGGGGAAAGATCAGGATTGATGTACCTCATCATTACTTCTATAATGAACATAACTGAGTGCAGACCATCAGTTTCTTAAATTTTTTCTTTAGGTATTTAATCCGCCGGCTACAAGTGAAATTCGCAGTCAACTTACTTGGTCTCCAAGTAGTATGGACTTTACTCGAGAGAGGCGGCCAACTCTGCATGATCTGGATAGAATGTATACAACTCTTTCTACAGCAATTGGTCAAGGAAGTGTCGACGTACAGCACCTTCAACGCAGGCGGCGGTTGCTCCCTTCTAAAGGTTGTTCGTCCCGGAACAGCCTAAAGGTTCTCCCTCGGNATCTGGATAGAATGTATACAACTCTTTCTACAGCAATTGGTCAAGGAAGTGTCGACGTACAGCCCCTTCAACGCAGGCGGCGGAGACATTCTGGGGGAGCATTCTGGTTAGGAGGTTTGTACACAAAGCTGATAATCTTAAAAGACTGAACAGATGAAACCCAAAAAATATCAGCCACATCTATTTGAAGACCTACATTCTTACAATGTTCTCTTGACTTCTTTTGTATCAGAGCTCCTGTCTGTATCCCCTTCCCTGCCCCCAGCTTATTTGGNTCTGCCGTCGTTTTTGTGCGGTGTTCGTCCAACCGCGTCCGCCCCTCTCTTCGGTGGTGCTCGCCCCCGAGCACTCCCGTGGTCCAGAATTTGTTTGTCGCCTTGTTTCACAACCACTCGTTTTCCATTCATCCTTGTTGGGGAGGCCGGTACTTCCAAGNCTGTGGTCAAGAATGGTCTGTACATCATCTTCGCATAGTGCCTAATTAATTAAGCACAGGGTAAACTTCAACTTTTCCTACTGTAATTACTACTATTAAAACCTCGGATCTCCCGTGATATTTATTCTATTTTGCATCTTTACCAAAATTTCATATTTCTGTGACAATTCTAAATTTATAAATGCTAAAAGAAAAGGAATGTGTGACTGTTCTCATATAATTGCACTTGTTCATGGTGAGGTAAAATAGTAACTGAATTTTGTGACTGTGTTTGCTTAGTTAGTTGAGAGTCTTCTGTCATATATTTCATAGGTGCTGCAAATAGGGGCTCCNCACCGGTTCCTCCCATAAGGGCCCTTTCACTTTATCCGCTTTGGAAGGGGTCGACCCCTCCACAGTGTCCAGTCTTATATGTTATGTGGCGGGACGGGAAATCTGGTAATTCCCTTAGCGGCCTCCTTTTTTCTATGACGTAGAGGTTCTTCTACGTCTCGGCTCCTTACGCGCTTGCTGCATTCCATTTTCGGCTGATGTCTCCCCCCGGGCGTGTATCCTGTCGCGTTTCTCCTCAGTATACTGTTCCTGACCCAGTTCTTTCTGGGGATCCTGTTGCGCCGTGCTACTCTGGCACGGAAGGTCGTCCCCTTGCTGGAGAATCCCAACCTCTCGTGGGGTCCGCGCTTTGTCTGGGTGGTGTCCCTGAGGATGTCTATCTTGAGTCGTGACACACTCGCCCGGCGTATTGTCCTTCTGTAGTCGGCGGCCAAT